GTATGTATGTGTGTGTGTGTGTGTGTGTGTGTGTGTGTGTGTGTGTGTGTGTGTGTGTGTGTGTATAGCGAGGAAGCATATGAATAAAGGACTGAAATGAACGGTGTTTCTGAGTTGGATTGATTAAATTAAATGTGAATAGGAAATGAATTAAATTAAGCTATATCACATTATTGCTCCCACTGGACTGTTTAAGATAAGATATAAGCTCAATTAAATTAAGGAAGAAATTGGCTTAATTTAAATTTGTCCTAGAATAAATTTTAATGAATCAATGGGAATGCACTTTGATCCATGGTGATGACAAAGCAAAACATCATCATTGGCGCATTATCGAAATAACATTTAGCTTAGATAATTTTTGAATGAGACAAACGCAATGATAAATGAATGGAAAAAAAAAAGATGACAAAATGCAGAAATGAAAATTAAAAGACATCAAACAATATGAATATTTAAATCTAATAATAATAATTAAAAGATTGGTGTAAAATGACATGGAGGAATATGTTACGATCACTTTTATAATGTAATAGTAAAAAGAAAGAGAGAAGTGAAGTAGATAAAGTAAGTAAAATCAGACAATTAATAATGGAAAAATTCCCATATTACCATCATTTTTTTATCAAAATTTTTAACTTTTTAAAAAATGAAGCAACTTCATAACTTTTTTTTCTGGTATTTAAAAAAATTCATTTAAAAAATGTCTTTTCCTTTTTAAAAATTATTCGTTCACAATTTTTTTCTTTTCAAATAAATGGGAAGTGGCATTAAATGGTGCAATTTTTTAATGAGTGTGAAAATAATGTTTGAAATGAGAATTTAATTCAAATTATGAATAGGAATTAATTGCTTCATCAAATAGATTGTGGCAAAAATATATTAAAGAAAGTAATGTTAATTGCAGTATTTTGCCAATTTCACCATTTATTCTTTTATTTTCCACTTTTTTTTCGTTTGAATTGAATCAAATCAGACCTCACAATTGATAAATCTTTTGATGGAATGTTTATTTCAAAAAATATATCAGTCGTTTTATTTCAAAAAAAAAAAAAAAAAACATATTTGCTTTTCGGATAATTCATTAGAATGGGAAGAAATTTTTGAAAAATAAATTATGCCAGGAGAAGAAAAATGAATCATTTTGATAATGGCACAAAAGAAAGTGACGAGAATATGGAAATATTTAATTGTTGAATTTTTTAATTTACATTACTTTCATTAATTTCCTTTACATGAAATATTGTTGAAGTAAAGCGTGCATTTTTTAAATGTATCATGCAATGTTTGAGTTAGCAAATTGCAAATTGCATTTTTTTTGCATTACATTTTGTCGAATGAGCAATAAAATTGAAAATGCTGCAGAAAATTGCTTTCTTACTAAAGAAGAAAGCAAAAAGCGCCATTGTTTTATTGTCATTTAAAAAGACAAGAATGACTGATGCACAGAAAATGCAAATTTCGTTCCATTTTCTATTACTATCATTTATTTATCATCCAGAAAATTTGCGAATTTTCCACGAATTATTCCCAATTATTTTTTATGCAATGCTTTCTTTATACTTTTATACTTATCTTCTCTCTCTCTCTCTCTCTTTTAAATAGCATATTTTTTGCAACCGCAGTAATTCATTACCATTGGTATCACCCACACGATAATATCTAAGAGATAGAGATAATTTGACTGAAATAATGGATACAATAGTTGTGAACAGCTTAATAGGTATCAATCATACTTTTCCTAAAAGTTTTCATAGCTTATCACACTGATTATTTAAATGACCGATACTGGATGACTTAGTTAGCTAACTAATCTTATCAGAGGAAATAATTCAATACCTGAAGATGTCATTCCGGAAATGCGCATATAGTTATATCCTATCATGTCATCATAGTGTAATTTCAATACGTCGTGCTATAGAATTGCCAGACAATTCTAATTAAATTACAATTTCAGGCTCATAATCATTACTACAGTAAGCAATTCTAGTCGGAAAGGTTTTATTTTCGTTTTTTTTTTTTTTTCTAGTAAAAAGATGATTGTTTATGAGCTTACTATACAGTAGATTTTGATAAAATCCTTTTAGAAATTGAACGATGAAGCAAAATTATTTGCTTCCTTTCAAAAATAGCAATCCTCTTAGCCTCTTTCGTTTCTTTTTTTTTTCTCAATTTAATACTTATGAAATGCGTGTAGCAAAAAGAAATTCTAAAATCACAATAAGCGAAAAAAAAGGTCAAAGTTGAAAAGGATTGATAGACTTTAAAATTATAAAGAGAAATATTAGACTGGTTGAATTCAATTTTGAACCAATTAATAGGGCTTGTTCTTCAAAGGGTATTAGTTATAAAGGAAATACTGAAAATTTTTGAGGGATTATCAAAAAGAA